CCCCCCCCCCCCCCCCCCCCTTAGGGCCCAGCGTCCTTGCTAGCACACCACTCGGTGCCTAGCTCTGATACCATTTGTAACAGCCCAAGCCTACCGCTAACAGATATTATTCGCTTGGCCTATTACGTGTCACCGTCAGCCTTACGGTTTTAAAACACGTTTACTAGGGAGAGGTTTCTACACCCTTATAAGAAATGTTTTGTTCTCATCTCCAACCAATATGGGATCTCACATTATGAGTTAAGCCAAGTGTTCTATATAGTAGTAGGTTGAAGACATGTTCCAAATTCTAGAAGATCTAAAATGTCTACTTGAAGTTGCAGGGACAAAATTTCACAGGTTATAGTACACCTTTAGCAGGTTTCAAGCAGGCTTTTTCTTAACCTTTATTTATAAAAAGCAGTCATTCTGATTCCCAAAAAGAAAGGACAACTAGAACATGCCTCTAATTGTTCATGCAGTCGCTTCTGGACCTCCATCTGCAGCTTAAGTGCTTCCGTAATTTGCATTCCCCTGCAAATGGGTGGTGACAAATTCTAGTGTTAAGCCCATCAAACAGTCACCTACCAACTAAGAGCAAGAGGGGTGGCTGCTTCTAAATTGTATTTATATCAACTTTCAATAAAACACAGAGCTGGATAAAAAGTGAAGGCGATTAGATCCACTTACGACGAGCCACCAATGTTCGGTAGAACATCAATAGAATCCTTCTGGTCAGCCTTTTTCCCTTGCATCAACAAGACAACAAACGGGTGAATGACTTTGTGAATGTCACTAGAGGTCTTACGACGTGCCTGCAAAAAGTTCGAGCGCATAAAGATGGAAAAAGAACAACTGGAAACTAGATTCACCTACCATCAGACGATGAGTCGGGAAGGTATTTTGCAAGTCGATATTTCTGGATGAATCCAAGAAAACAAATTAGAAAATAAATTCTATGCATGCTAACATAAACCTCTCGTGTAAGGATAGGTGAAAGATCACAGTACCTGCAGGTGGCTTTTAACGTGGTATATCGTTAGACCTTGAACACCCATCACTCTAAGGACGCCTTTGGGTGTAGCACCTAACAAACAGATGAAAAATGCACACATAAACATGGTTAAACATCGTTTGTTGGCCCATAACTTCAAGATAATCTACCCTTACCTGCAACTTTACTACAGTTTATCATGCTTTACACTTTTACTCTTCTATTTTCTATATTAAAATATGCTTCTCCTTCCTTGATTGACGAACTGTTTATGATCAATAGAAAGTTTCTATAAGACGGAAGACTATTTATGTAGGAAACCACCTCCTGAATGTAAATTTGCATGATGACTTCTTTTTTTGGAAGAAGATCAATGGCGTGATGCATACAGCTTATTATGTCTATTTGTAATATGTTTGTTTGTTCTTTCATCCTTAGCCACAATATACATATAGATGAAGAAGATGCCAAACTACAATGCCGCAAGTGGTGAGTTTACTCACGATCTGGACCACCAAGTTGTGCCACTGCATTAACGAATCGTTCGTGAAGATCATGTGTCCATCGCAATCTCTGTTTTGAGGCCAAATTTGGGGTGTTGCTGGGATCATTGCATCCATTTGTGGGTTCCATCGAGCTGGCATCAAAAGGTATGTTCTGATCACGAACTAATGAGTTGTTTTGAAGAAAGCTCGACTTATGAGTACTCTGTTGCTGAAACATGTCATTTACCTGTAAACAATAAGCAAAAAATGACAGAAAACCTCAGAACTTGGGAAGTTTATTGGGACTAATGAGTCTACAGATGTTTGAATCATTTTCTCTTTAGAAAGGGCACTCTTCCTCAACCAAACCTATACCCAGCAACATGAAACACGGGGTATCTGGAGAGTTTATAAGAAAATCGACAATAACTTAGCAATGGCCGAGCAAAGATTGTAGTATCAAGAGAGGTATCTTCCCTAGTAACACTTCTCTTCACCCCACCAAAAAACAAAAAACAGATTAGAATCTGAAAAGACCAATTTCTAATGATATTATAAAGATGGCACAGAAACAGATGCCTATAAGACAAGGATTGTTTACCACAAACATCCAATAAACCAAACCAATCTAAAGTAATCTTGATAAGAATTAAAGCCAGCCAAATGGATACTTCAGCATCAGAACATATCTAAACCCAGGACTTAAAACGAGCTAAAAAACTAGGAAAGAATTAACTAGCAGGCATTGCAACCAGCGAAGAAAAGGAAGAACAACAAATAAGAACCGAACCAGAAACGACAACCAGGGCTTAAAGGGGGACAAGAAGTCAATATCCGAAACCGAAGTCTAGAGAAATGGGGGGGCCTTACAGTTCAAAACTTAGCAACAACATAAACTAGAAGAAAGGCATGTAAATGCAAGATCAAAACATAGGATTAGAGAGAGAAAGAGGATAAGTAGATACCCAGATCTAAGACCGCATCCCTGAATATCGGGATGGCGCCATTTCTGTCTTTCTGTAAGCTCACGAGTTTCAAAGGAATCAATGTTGTGGGTAATCGAAGCAAGAAGATAAAAATTGGATTCCCTCGTGGTTGCGGTGCGTTAGTTAAACTGAAGGGCATCAGATTCCTTCCTGTATCTCGGTTTGTGCGTCATAGAGTCTCTCCCTTGGCTTGGATTGGCTTGGCTTGGCCTTCAAAGTTGAAAAGGAAAGAAGGCGTCTGCGACTGTGAGCAGTCTCATCATCAGCCTTTGCCTGCTTTGTAGGAAACACAAAATCCGCTCCATTTCGGACTTTCCCCAAATCTCAATCTCTCTTCATTTCTCCCTTCAAACACTTCCTTTTCAAATTTTTGGATTTTATTGGATAAAAAAAAAAAATCTTACTTTGAGATTGTTTAATTTTTTTTAATAATTCTTGAGAACTGCCCCCTTTTTTTTGTTAAAGTAAATTAATATTCGGTGAATTTCAACTTTATTCCTAAAAAAAGTAGCAAAAATCCACATGGATTATAGGGTTTCTTTACCCATATAATTTGAATATATATATATATATATATAACAAATCAATTTTTTTTTTTAAGATTTTGGATAAATTATTGACTTATTAAATAAAATATTCAAAAACTATTGTATAGTTTTAATATTTATAATTTATTAAACATAAAATTAAAACTTGTATAATTATTAGGAAAATTTATAGAACAAATAAACCCAATTAAAAATTTAGAATTTATTAATATTTTTTAAAAATAAATTTAAAAAAGTAATCTTTATTTGAACTATTTAAAAATAAATAAATAATAATAATAATAAAAGAATAAAAGAAAAAGGGAAAAGGAACGGCTCTTTCCGTTCCAACAGAAAATTATTTGTGTTGTGGTCAGAGTCAAAAAGACATTGGAAGTTGGACTTTTCCTTAGCTTTTGGAGGACAGCTACACATCAAAGTATAAAACTTTTTTTTTTTTTTTTTTTAATTCTTCAAATATAAATAATCTCTTTTAAGAGACATCTTAGATTTGCATTTTTTTTTTTCTTGTCTCAAATTAATCAAATTAATGTAATGTTTCATCTTCTTAAAATGGTAGATTGTGAGATCCAGCTCCAAAGATAGTGGATCATGAGATCCTACATTGGTTGAAGAGAAAACTTCTTAGTATACACGTTCTAAAATCATGAGGTTTATAATAATACGCAACAGATTAAAACGGACAATATTTACTAGTGGTGAACTTGAGCGGTTACAGTTAACTTCATTGCAATATATTTATCGGTGTGTTAATGGTTGTTATGGTTTAGCATGAAAAATAATCATGATACCCATCATCATTGGAAGACAAGGTCTATTTCACTGCTAACAAGTGAAAGAAGATGTGTTTCCAACAAAACACTACTGATTACACCCTGATAATGGATTCATGTCTGCCTACGCCAGAAAGAGGTCGACTATAATTGTTCAGAACAGCCAAAAGAATGACTAACTACTTGCATTTTCGACGAGTTGTCTACGTACTAAACGGCGTTCGCTCGTGCAAGATTCTATGGATGGAAAATAATGAAATTTTTACAAAAGCTGGAAATAGAACATACTTTTCATCAATTCTGATGAGTTTTTGTCTGCAGAACTTCATCCCCACATGTTGCACCCGGATATGGTGAGATGGTTCACTTGGATCATGTTGGCATCTTGTATTATTTCCTTGGCTTCACCCCAAATCAAAGATGCATTTTCTGAATCCAAGTTAGCCATGTTTTTCTTGCTTGCAACGGGACTTTTCTCCATGGCCAATCCCCCTGGACTCTCGTTCGAGGTTAGGCAGCTTTCGGTCGAACAATCAGCCCTTTGGCGACGAAGATTAGTCTGAACTTCTTCTGTACCATTCACTCTTTCCATCTCTTGTGATTGTGAAGCATAGAAACCAAGTGGGTCGATAGAGAAACTTCTTGGGCTCTTACGATTTTGTCCTTGGGACTTCTTGCTGTCCGAGTCCGAAACCGCACCTCCAATGAACTGATCTGCAAGCATTTTACAAGCTCTCTCAAGCATAGCCAAATATCTTCGCTCGGCATCCTGACGAATCCGGAGGTGCTTCTCTGCCTGCCCAACGATGGTAAAGTCAGCTAGCTCATGAATTTAGTGTATCATACATTTTATATCAGTAATTCTCAATGTACTCGATCACGAGGATAATCAACCAAGCAAGTAAGCCATCTTAAAACTAGAAATTAACAGTTCAAGCTCACCGCTAGCATATATTGTCCTATTTGGGATTTCCCCTTCGGGATTCCCCTCTAAAGTTTTTAAAACGCGTCTGTTAGGGAGAGGTTTCCACACACTTACAAAGAATGTTTCGTTTTAGGATCTCACACTTGCTCCATTTAAATTAAGTTTAGAATCCACCAGGCATTCATTAACAGAGTTGGATCTTCATGAAATCTGTCTAAAACCATCATAAATTTCCATTTTAATGTCAAGGATGAGAATTTTACCTCAACTTGCAGATGTAACTTACTCTGAACTTCCATTTGCGCTCTTAATGCCTCCTTGACTTCATAACCACTAAAACAGACATCAAAGTTATACACGGTTCGAAAATACGACAAATCTTGTAAAACAAAACATTCAAGGCATTATCATAAGTGTCTTAAAGGAGGGAAAAAAAAAACTCTTATCTTACTCGGCCATTTCAGAAATTGGCAAGTCAGGAGAGAAATTATTGGTACTTGGGCTTTCTAAAAGATATGCACCTGATGTTCATTGCACCAAGCGATAAACAAAGATTTAAATATTTGGACCAGACAGGTTAAAGCTTTCAGAAATGAGTAGCTAGTGCAAATACTGGTGGTGAGAGGAAGAAAGCAAGCTCTTTTGGATAAGAACTCCATGACCCAACACTAATAAATGCAGTTGATATCAGCAGAGACTCATGGAGGCTATATCACTTGAAATGCAAAGACAAAACAGAAATTTATCGCTTACCATCCTTAGATGCCTCACCCATATCCTTCCCTGATTGCTTACCTAATCTGTATTTCTGAAATGAAGAAACAAGCAATGCATAAACACAAAAATTCATCATGAATTCCAACATCAGTTTCTTTTTGTTCATAAAAACATTCCTCTTTATGTCATTATGATTACCTGGAGGTGGCTCTTCAGATGGAAGAGAGTAAGTCCTTTCACATTCATTGTTCGCATTATTGCTTTTGGTGTAGCTTCTGCACCAAGTGTTCAAATGTTAAACCCTTATCATTGATTATAGAGTTCATGTATGACCCATATCCTCCACACCCTTGTCCCCACCAACAAGTCAAAAGAAAGATAGCAATCAAAGCATGCATAGCATATTCTCTATGCTACTGAGCTGTATTAGCAACAAAGTGAACTTAATGATTACAACCCAAGTTCTGGTTTTTGTAAAACCTGGAGTCTTATGGTCAAACATGTCAAGCACTCTCCAGAAGACACGAAATAACAGGATCTTCAAAGAAAAAGTATAGAAGGCCAATTGATTTTTGTCAGATTGTACAATTTTAAACCTTAATGGGAGCGCTTCACACAATTCCTTTTGTCTAATACTTTCTCCTAGCAAGGGAACACCTTGTCTCCTTGGCTTCTAAGTTGTTCTTTTGGGTTCTCACAAACTCAATTAGATCTCAAATCTTTTCAGCTTCAATTATCTTTATGGGAAAACAAAAACTATCTTCAAACTGATGGGATACCTTGTTGACAGACTGTGACTTGATACTCCTAATGGGGCAAGGCTAACAAAACCGATCAATTGTGATAAAACGGGATAACTTCTTTGATTGAGCAACTATTAATTATCGCTTCTAAGATATGATCATGAGGGAATCTTGATATGTACCTTACCGCCTAGACCATTGAGCTAATTAGTGAAGGTTTTCATTTCAAACTACGAAAACCTCAAAGTTGTATGTAGTCTACTCATCAACATCCAAATCTTGTCTGGTTCAGCTCATGTCATGTCCACTAACTTTCATACCAGGTAATTTATTCATATACAAATTTGAAGTCTTGGACAAAGTCAAACAAACTAGAACGGCAATCAAACCCACTGCTAGTAGATATTGTCCTCTTTGGATTTTTCCTTTCGGGTTTCCTCTCAAGGTTTTAAAACACGTCTACTAGGGAGAGGTTTCACACCCTTATAAGGAATGTTTTGTTCCCCTCTCCAACTGATATGGGATCTCATAATCCACTCATTCTCCTCTCTAACCGATGTGGGATCTCACAATCCACCCCCTCTAGGGATCAGTGTCCCCACTGGCACATCGCCCAGTGTCTGGCTATGATACCATTTGTATCAATTCAAGCCCACCATTAGTAGAAATTGTCCTCTTTAAGCTTTCCTTTCAAGCTTCCCCTCAAGGTTTTAAAACACATTTGTTATGGAGAAGTTTCCACACTCTTATAAGAAATGTTTCGTTCCCCTCTCCAACCGATGTGAGATCTCACAATTGCAGTGAATACGTGAACATAAAAATGATGAGTCGTACTACTTAGGAATCAAACAAAACTGTTTATAGATATCTTTTCTATCCAACTTCAAATCTTTTAGAATTGTATTTTAATAGTTTATGATGTTCAATAAAGTCATCATACTGACTAAAGTGGAAGCATAGTTGGATAGAAAATCTAATGGTGCTGACATCCTAATTATAAATTCATAATTAGATTATATCTGAAAAGTCTAAATAGAATTCTTAGCTGACATACACCTTAGATTTCAAGAACCAGATTCGCAAGAAAGATAACAAAGTTTAATCCCTTTTCCTGTTTTGTCAACCTTAGAGGTTTCCTCCGCAAGAGTGTCCTTTTGAGCTAATTATCAGACTCTTAATCCAATCATTTCAACTAAAAACATAGACAAAACAACTGAATCTACTCAATGAAGTGTTCCCCAAAAGCTTACTCCAATGAGTTTCCCAATGTCTAGAGATAGCTGATGCAAAGAATGTTTCCTTTTAGCAAGAAAAATGAATGAATACACCAAAAAGCCATATAAAAAGCTGGTCAAAGAAACCAAGAAAGCTAAACAAAAGTTGCAGGGATTCCAATCATTAAAAATAAGAAACAAAGTGACTATCTAAATCTACTCAATTTGTGAGCCAATTAGAAGCATACTCTCCCTAGACAACAATCATTTATGAACACTCTTCAAAGAACTCAAGCACAAAACCCCCCATTTAAACTTCCATGGCTTTGATAGAGTCGTCAAATTTTGAAGATTGGTTTAGAATCTGCAGAATTTAAGCGTTCTAGAGGAATTGAGCTTGGCCTCCCATACCATTTCTCTTAAG